CGAGACGACCAGTCCGCCCTACCGACACGTCTTGGGGCGCGACAGGGAGGAGGTCTTCATCAGGACAATCGATGGAGGAGGAGGAGGAGGCGGAAGAGGTGGAGGAGGAGGAGCAGGAGCAGGAGCAGGAGTTGGAGGAGGATCATGATGATGAGGAGGAGGAGGAGGAGGAGGAGGAGGAGGAGGAGGCTTCTCTGGGGGCCTCTAGAGGGCCTACTACTGTTTCTGAGGGGCCACCGGGTGCCTGCCCCTGGAGGCCTCGCCCAAAGCCTTTACGAACATCGGCCGTCGCTGTATGTCTACACTCTAGGCGATGCTTAAGAAAACTTAAGTTTTCGGCCAGAGTCTCGATTATTCTCAACGTTTCAATGTAAATCCTAAGCTTTTCATTGAACTGTTGGGTTTTTTATTCGAGATCTGAGACTATGAATTTCTTAACCCATGATTTCTTAAGCATATCGCAGGGTCTAGGCTCCTCTCCTCTTCTCCTGGCCTGTGCCTCGAGGAGCGCCTCGCGGGGGTGCCGGCCGTGGCGAGGGGAGGCCTCCGGGAGCACCGCGGAGCCGAAGCGCACGCCCTGACACTCCGACCCTCGAGTCCTCCTCGCTCGCCTCGCGCTGCCGGCCGCTCCTCGCTCCTCGCTCCTCGCTCCTCGCTCCTCGTCCTCCCTCTGCCCGCGCCGGCGCGAGGAGGGGGGGGCCTCCTCCTCCTCCTGCTCCCCCCCCCCTCCCCCCCCCCTCCTCCTCCTCCTCCTCCTCCTCCTGCTCCTCCTCCTCCTCCTCCTCCTCCTCCTCCTCCGGGGGCGCGGCCCGTGGCGAGGGGAGGAGCGCGCCGAGAGGGCCTTCCAGCAGAAGGCCCAGAGCCTCGTCCGCCCAGGTCGTGCATTCGCCCCTCCCCCGCCGGGCGCGGGCGCGGGCTCGGGCCGCGGGGGGGCGAGGCTGATGGATCGAGGAGTGAGGAGCAGGAGGACGTGGATGATGATGGCGATGATGATGCTGATGATGATGGTGCTGATGATGGTGATGATCATGATGATGGTGTTGGTGGTGGTGATGATGGTGATGCTGATGGTGATGATTCTGCGAATGGGGACTAGTGAAAGCCCAGAGCTCAAACACGATGTTGCAAGACACCCTTCCTTCAAGTTTCTTCTTCATAGCTCCCTACGAACATGTGTCTTCACAACGGGAACTGGCCCGTTGGATGACATTCGTTTGATCATGTTGAAACGTGCAAAACACAGTTCCTGGGACTTCAATGCCGCAACTCAGAGGTACGGTTGCGTCCTTACGATCCTGAGTCGCGACAGAAAGTAATTCTTGGGAATTCAGCACCGCGATTCAACGTGATTGTTGCGCGCTGAGTCCTACATCGTGCCAAAACACCTTTTCTGGGACTTCGACTACACGAATCCTTGAAACAGTCGTAAAATCTTAAGACTAATGTGCCCGGCGCTCAGGCGAGAGCCACATGTTGAAAACGAACCGCTCTTCATCCGCGAAGCTCTTGCGAACTTTGAAGACGAATGTGCGCGGCGCTAAGGCGGGAACCACATTTTGGAAACGGCCCGCCCTCCATCTCAGAAGTTGTTGCAAACTTTTAAGACGAATGTGCGCGCTGCTAATGCGTGAGCCACATTCAGAAAACGGCCCGCCCTCCATCATTGGAGGTGTTGCAAGTTTCAAGCTCAAGGAGCATATGTGGTGAGGACGTCTCAAGCGAAACGCCCGGCCCACCCTGACGACACGTCTGGGGGTGTGACAGGAAGGAGTTAGTTATAGAAGAAAGGGATTGATGATGATTGTGTTGGTGATGGCGAACGGGAAGGTGAGAGCATTTGGCGAAGGATGGATGATATTCGAGACGATCGAGATGGGGGATCGATTGGGGTGGATGCTTAGGGTGATGGGGCGATCGAGAGTGATTGGCGGATGGCGACCGATTGACGGGACGGTTCGATAGATCGGAGGATCATGACGATTGACGATGCCGATGATAATGATGATGATGATGATGATGATGATGATGATGATGATGATGATGATGATGATGATGATGATGATGATGATGATGATGATGATGATGATGATGATGATGATGATGATGATAATCATGATGATGATGATGAGGAGGAGGAGGAGGAAGAGGAGGAGGAGGAGGAGGAGAAGGAGGATGATGATGATGATGATGAAGACGATTATGCTGCCGATGAGGATGAGTTGGCGAGGGTGATGAGGACAATGCTGATGGGGTGGTGGCGATGATGATGCTGCTGATGATGCTGGTGAGGATGAGGACGTTGATGAGGATGAGTATGCGGAGGAGAAGGAGGGGGAGGAGCAGCAGGATGAGAAGGAGGAAGGGGACGACGAGGACGAGGAGGAGGTGGAGGAGGCGACGCAAACCGGAGGAGGAATCCATCCGCGGACCCTTCTTCCTGCAAGGTAGCGACTGGAGCTTCGAGGCGGATGGGGAGGACCTGACCCCCGAGCTGGAGCAGGACTCGTGTGGGAGGGTAGGGCGCGCTCGAGGATTTGAGCTCGGACGCGTGTACGTACAGTACCGACAGTGCGCCCCCTCCACTTGTCCCTCCTGCATTTTTATGTTTTTCGTGTGCGTGTGTGAGAGTTGTTGTTGTTGTTGTCGTTGTTGTTGGTGTTGTTGGTGTTGTAGTTGTAGTTGTTGTTGTGTTTGCTGTTGCTGTTGCTGTCGTTGTTGTTGGTGTTGCTTGTGTGGTTGTTGTTGTTGTTGTTGTTGTTGTTGTTGTTGTTGTTGTTGTTGTTGTTGTTGTTGTTGTTGTTGTTGAACATTATTTCTTCTTAAGAATAATTATTGTTGGGACCCCTGGTGCACGACCCCCCCGCCGCGCCTAGGCCGCAGCCTCATTTTCATAATTTTCGTGAGGAAGCCTCAGGCAAAACGATGTGGTCCAGATCCGGTTGTTTTGTTGTCCCCCGCTTTCCCTTGCAAAAAACACTATAACATGAAATTTCTTGTTCTAACATATCCAAACTTCAAGAATCCCTTGCAAAAAATAAGGTAAAGTGGACATTCGCGCGCGCAAGACGAAATCCTTCCAAAACCTTAGTTTTCGTAGCGATTTTAACATAAAAACATAAAAAAAAACCAATGGTTTTTCCAAACAAAAAATGTCGAAATTTCATCCCGCGCGCTCTTGCGGATTCGTAGGGAACCCAACATTTTTTAAACATTTCTGTCAAACGGGCTTTTGCGAGCAACTTTTTCGAACTTCTGCAACAACGGTTGCGCACCTGCCAGGGCCATCATCCCTGTCAAATAATACCATGCGGGACACATTCGTTTTTTCTTCGCGCGCGCACGCCGTCGTCGTCGGCCGCGGGGCCCTGACTCGTAGCCACGGTCGTCCGCATGCCACGAAGTGAAGTGTCCGAACGTCATAGGGCGGGAAGCTGGGTGTGGGTGGTGGCGAAGAGTCGTTTGGAAATTTGGTAGAGCTTGAACCGGCCCCCCCACAAAGTGGGGGTATCGCCCGCCTCCTATGAAAACCCTGGCACTGGTGAGAACGGAGTGTCCCCAGTCTTAAATGATTGTTGAACATTATTACTTCTAAAGAATAATTATTGTTGGGACCCCTGGTACACGACCCCCCTTCAAAACCTAGGCCGCAGCTACATTTTCATCATTTTTTCGCGAAAGCTTCAGAAAAGTGGATTAGTACCGGATCCGGTTGTTTTGTTCCCCCCCGTTTTCCCTTGCAAAAAACACTATAAATTGAAATTTCTTGTTCAAATGTAATCCAATTTCAAGAATCCCTTGCAAAAAATAAGCTAAAGTGGACATTCGCGCGTGCAAGACGAAATCCTTCTTTTTTTTTCGCCCTTCTCTTTTTTCTTTTTTTGATTTTTTTATTTTCCTTTTTTTCTTTGTTTCTTTTTTTTTGTTTCTTTTCCTTTCTTCCAAACTTAGGTTGGAGGCGATTCTTTTAACATAAAACATCAAAAACCCAATGGTTTTTTAAGAAAAAAATGTCACAATGTTCTTCCGCGCGCTCTTGCGGATTCGTAGGAAAACCAACACTCTTTAAACAATTTTGTCAAACGGGTTTAGGCGAGCAACTTTTTCGAACTTCTGCGACAACGGTTGCGCACCTGCCAGGGCCATCATCCCTGTCAAATAATATCATGCGGGACACATTCGTTTTTCTTCGCGCGACGCACGCCGTCGTCGTCGGCCGCGGGGCCCTTGAATAGTAGCCACGGGTCGCCGCAGCCCGAAGTGAAGTGTCCGAACGTCATAGGCTGGAAGCTGGGTGTGGGTGGTGGCGAAGAGTCGTTTGGAAATTGGTAGAGCTTGAACCGGCCCCCCCACAAAGTGGGGGTATTGCCCGCCTCCTATGAAAACCCTGGCACTGGTGAGAACGGAGTGTCCCCAGTCTTAAATGATTGTTGTTGTTGTTGTTGTTGTTGTGGTGGTCGTTGTTGTTGTTGTAGTTGTTGATGTTTTCGTTGTGAGTTGCTGTTTGTGTTGTTTGTTGGATGTTGTAGTTGCAGTGTGTGCTGTTGTTGTTGCTGCTGTTGCTGTTGCTGCTGTTGCTGCTGCTGTTGAATATTATTCCTTCTAAAGAATTATTATTGTTGGGACCCCTGGTGCGCGACCTCTGCGCCGCGCCTAGGCCGCAGCTACATTTTCATCATTTTGTCGCGAAAGCTTCAGAAAAGTTGATTGTTACCGGATCCGGTTTTTTGTTGTACTCCGTTTTCCCTTGCAAAAAACACTATAAAATGAAAATTCTTGTTCTTACTTGATCAAATTGCAAGAATCCCTTGCAAAAAATAAGGTAAAGTGGACATTCGTGCGCGCAAGACGAAATCCTTCCAAAAACTTAGGTTTCGTAGCGATTTTAACATAAAAACATCAAAAACCCAATGGTTTTTTAAGAAAAAATTGTCAAAATGTCCTTCCGCGCGCTCTTGCGGATTCGTAGGAAAACCAACACTTTTTAAACAATTCTGTCAAACGGGCTTTTGCGAGCAACTTTTTTCGAACTTCTGCGACAACGGTTGCGCACCTGCCAGGGCCATCATCCCTGTCAAATAATACCATGCGGGACACATTCGTTGTTTCTTCGCGCGCGCACGCCGAAATCTCCAAAAACCATTGGGCTTCTTAAGAATTTTAGCACCGCGCATCATAAAATCACACGAATCGCACCGTAGGTCCTCGAAAAACACCTGCACGACTTTTCAAAAATTCTACCCGCGCGCGCTGTCCGAATCCTAAAAAAAACAATGGTTTTTCCAACATTTATGTTACATGAGCTCGCGCGAGCTACTTTCGCACGCTCTTGCGACGGGGTTCGCGCGCCTGCCAGGGGCCACGAACTCCGCTCTCTCTGTCTCTCTCTCTGTATGCTCTCTGTCTCTCTCTCTGTCTGTCTGTGTCATGTATTGTATGTCACAATTGCAGGATGCTGGGCACACGCGCGCCCCGAATAAGTGACCAAGTTCTGTGGGTGTGTACCCCACGCCAGTGTAGTAGCCACGGTCGTCCGCACGCCACGAAGTGAAGTGTCCCAACGTCATAGGGCGGGAAGCTGGGTTTGGGTGGTCGCGAAGAGTCGATTGGATATTTGGTAGAGCTTGTAATGCCCCCCCACGAAGTGGGGGTATTGGCGGGCGTCGTATGAAAACCCTGGCACTGGTGAGAACAACTGAGCGTTCGGTAAAATGATTGTTGTGTTGTGTGTTGTGTTGTTGTTGGTGTGTTTCTTACCTCTTACCCAGTGATTACTGGTTTTTTTCAACCTTGAAGTGCTCTTCTCTGGGCTCCAGCCATGTTTTTTGCAAGTAAAGCTTGGGTCACCAACTGGTACGTTGGCCCCGGTTTAGAACGGACAGCAGTGCCGCCCAGGATGTTTTTACTCACGATTGTATTGAGACAGTCTGCGTCGCCGCCGTCGTCAGACGTCGTCGTCGTCGTCGTGGTCGGTCCCCTGTCCGTCTCTCTTGGGGTCGGGTCGACGGTCCGCGGCCGCCCCGCCGATCAGCGCTGCCGCTGGCCAGGCCGACGGTCCGCGGCCGCCCCGCCGCTTGCTGGGGCCCGGCCTGCAGGGAAGAAAGGTCTACCCCCCCAAAGGGTTTTGATCGAAGACCAAAAGGGCGGGTATCGAGGGTTTGGGAAATAGGCGTTATTGGACACTCGAGCAGATAAGGGCGAACAGTCTGAAACTGATTGTTGTTGTTGTTGTTGATGTTGTTGTTGTTGTTGTTGTTGTTGTTGTTGTTGTTGTCGTTGTTGTCGTTGTTGTTGTTGTTGTTGTTGTTGTTGTTGTTGTTGTTGTTGTTGTGTTTGTTGTTGTTGTTGTTGTGATTGTTGTCGTTGTTGTCGTTGGTGTCGTTGTTGTTGTTGTTGTTGTTGTTGTTGTTGTCGTTGTTGTTGTTGTCGTTGTTGTTGTTGGTGTTGTTGTTGTCATTGTCGTTGTCGTTGTTGTCGTTGTTGTTGGTGTGTGCAGTTAATGGTAGTCGTTTTGTTGTGTGTGCGCGCTTTCGATGTTGTTTGAGGCCTTCCTTTTCATGGTGTATGTGTATTATTTGTTATGTTGTATGTATATTATTCAGATATAAATACATGTAGTTATATATATATATGTACTTATGGAGGTCAGGTAGATGGGGAGCGAGGACTGCTGCGTTGTTCCTTTTGACGCCGTCCGGAGGCCGTCTCGGGAGGCTGAGCGTAATCAGCGACACCATAGGGTTCCCTTTGGCTTCCTTGGGATTGGCCCGCAGAGATCCGCAGAGATCCCTCCTCCCTCTTTCTCCTTCCTCCTTGTCCTCGTCCTTCTCCCCCCTCCTCGTCCTTTTCTGAATCACTCCCTCTCACCCACCTTCCCCTCTCCTCCGTCCCGCCCTCTCCACCCACCTTCCCCTCTCTCCTTTTTCTCCGCCCCCTCCTTCCCCCCCTTCTTCGCTCTCCCCCACGTCCTCCTCCCCCTCCTCCCTCCTCCTCCTCCCTCCCCCTCCGTCTCATCCTTCCTCCTCTCCTCCCGAATACCCCTCCTCCTCCCCTCCTTCACCTCCTACCTCCTCCTCCACCTCCTTCTACTACCTCCCCTTCACATACATCCCTACCTCACCGCCCCGCCTCCCCTCCCCCCTCCTCTGCCTGTATCTCCCCCTCCTGTTCTTCTCGATTTCAAGTCATTTTCCTCTCCCCGCTTTCCTCCCGCGTCCTCCTCACTTACTTCTCCTCATACTCCTCCTCCTCCTCCTCCTCCTCCTCCTCCCCCTCCCCTCCCTCCCGCCCTCCCTCCGTCTCTCCCCTCCTCTCTGGAATCAGATGCGCAATCCCCCCAAACAACCTCCTTCCCTCCTCTCTCCCTGACCTGCTCGCCACCCCCTGGCCCAGTTCTCTTGAGCCACGTCCGGACGCAGGCCGTGAGGACCCCTCAGAAGGGGCACAGACAAGGGCTGAGCTGTAAAAGCTCCTCCCTCCTTGTCCCTTCGTCGTCGCCGCCGT